GAAGGGCCGACGGCCGCCGCTCCTTGCCCCCTGCTCCGGGCAGCGAGGAGGTGGGGAACCCAGCCGCGAGTTTTCCCCCGTTCTTCCTGTGCGTTCAGGTTTCTGCTTTTGAGGGCCTGGATTGCTCCGCACGGAATGTGCGGATCCAGCGCTCCTGGAGAGGTTATAAATAACGAATATGTGTGCAGGATTTCAGTTGCAGTAATTGTGTTAAATCTCTGATGAGGCGAGGTTACTTGGTCTAGTACACAGGATTTCCTAGTACACTGGGTTTCCTAGGGAACGACTTGGGACGCCAGTAACGTTTCAGTGGCTGTTTCACTGAATAGCAGTATATGTTAACGTATTCTGTCTTGTTTTACAGAGTTAAAACAAAATGTCGTCATCATCACCCTTGTCTTTACTGGTACATCCCTGTGCTGCCCCCTTATTGGACGTTGATCTTCAGGAAGAATTTCTTCTTCCTCATGCTGCTGAGGCAAGTTCATTCTATTCCTGTTAAGCTTGATTTTTACATGCGATTTACTTTCTTAACAAGACTCAAAACAGGTATTTCCAAACATACTTCCTAGCTACAGATGGGAAGTAGGTGATATTTCAAAAAATGGGTGAGGATGCCAGATGTAAAAATGGTGTATTGAAACTATGGGACAATTCTTATTTGTTCTTTTCTGCTTACAGAGATGGGCTAGAATAAATGAAATACAATGTTTTATCTTCTAAGATGATGTTTTCACTGGAAGTAATTAAATTGAAGAACTTAGTTTGGTTATATAACTGAGAAAAAGGTATAGAAACTTGGACCATTACACAAGTTGACATCTTCCAGAAAATTTAAGCCTATAATAAAACAAGACACAAATATAAATATATAAAAAATATAAACCATTAGATGTTTGGGGTGTAGTTTTTTGCATTATGGTAACAGTTGGAAGCACAACAGTCTACATTCTCATTCTGTGAGGAAATGATTTTTTTTAGTTGGGAACTTCACAGATTCTGTTATTCATTTTCTCAATTATGCTAAGGAGATACAGATATAAGAATTAAAACTCGGTCTAACTAACCGTTTTGATGGAGATGCACCTGGCACAGGCTGAAAGCAGAAGAAATGAGTCCTGGTGGTGGGTGGAGAAGACAAAACAATCCACTTCTGAAAAACAGTGAATAGTCAGTGGAGCACTGAGCCGAGTAAACAGATAACTGCTTGATGAGGACATCAGTCGTGCTGAAGTGCAAGGGTAGAGGCAGGAGAGAGGTGCTGGAGAAAGGGTGAGGGTGACACGCAGGTTCCTGGTGCTTGGCGAGGAAGCTGCAGGAATTGGATGTGTTTAGGTTGTAGGCAATGATACATGGCTCTGGATTTGCCATGACATGGGCAGCGTCATGCTTCTGTGCAGCCCTGCCTGGTGAGGAGCTTTTCTAAACTGGGAAAAGAGAAAAAACATTGGTGCTTCCCAACTGGAAGAATTCTGGTGTGAAGCATAGCATCAGTATCTGAAGCAGGGCTTGGCCTCCAACTTCGCTAGAGGTAAACTGTTTACCTTTGTCTTGTAGATCAGGTGTGTTCTGTAAGCAATCAGTTGAGTATACACCCTATGATGTCACAAGCTTTTACCCTTCTTAAGAGTCATAAATGAGAGGTTTCTTTGATATTTAAAATCTCTCCTAGATTATTTTCCTGAGTAGTTGACTTGTTTTCTGTTGGTATCCTTGAATTAGCAAGATTAATGTCCTAGCTGTGGTGATACTAAATGTTACATAATTATGAATGCTGCATTAGGAGAAAATGTATGTGGCACCTGGAGAAGCAGGAAAACTCTGTTCACTGATTCGGCCAAATAAAATGGATTATCACAGAACTACAAAAGCCATCCAAGACAGAATATATTTTACTTATCCAAGCAAAGAATCTGAGAGTCCAGAACAGCAAGTAAGAAAATATGTAAGGCATAAATTTGGAACCAATGGAAATGTACATTTCTTACATGAGTCTTAAACTAACACTTAGGTTTTTGTGGTGTCCTGTCCACTAATAACATCCCTGCAAAGTCGGAAGGAATTTGGCGAGCTATGTATTTTGAAACAGTAGGTGGATCACGGTAAATTCCTGTTTAACAGTTGTGTTGTATGGAACTCAAACAGAAACGTACTGGAGCCAAGAATGTAGATTTCTTTTAAAATTAAATGTGATTTGTCATGGCTGACTTTCTTAGCTTCCTTTTGGAAGTCATAAAGCTAACTCTGTTCTTGTGAGCTAATTAAGATGGGTGTCTATTCTGATTTTTTAAAAAACTTTTACAGAAACTCTTGATTTTTCAGATTTTCATAGACATTGATATCTGTCTTACAGTATGAGGCGCTTTGTTGATTGTTAGAGAGAAAGTTCATAGAGAACTAACTGTGTGGGGAAGACAATTTCCTGAGAATGGAAAGATAGTGTATGAGTAATTTAGGCTTCCGGTCACTTTTCAGTTCTGGGAAGTCTTCTAAGCCCTCCTATTTTTGCCAATAAATAACTGGGGTCACAAAACACCATTCCTGTTTATGTTTTTTGCTGATAGCAAATCTGACTCAGTGTAGTCAAAAAGGGATAAGACTACTGCTGAATAAAATGTTTATGAGTTTGTAGTGCACGACAGGTGGAAACCTGGGTGCAGAATAGTCCACGTTGTGACATTACAGATAAACATGGGATCAAAATTACAAAACATTCTGAGGAGTTACATGCAGGCCAAGATTAGATGAATGCTTTGCAAGGAGTTGTAGTAAAACTTCTGATGTCAGTTTCCAGCTTGAGGCAGTGGGTTTATCTTCTCACTAGTGAAATTACGTTTAGGATTTAAAATCTGAAAATTCCTCAAGTAGTGTTTTGTTCTGTTCTGTTGTTTTTTGTTTTTTTTTAACGGAAAGTTACCCACCCCAAAATCAAGCATTCTAAAATGATGCTTAGTTGACAGTATTATAGGCACATAAATTCTTCTGGATTTGTGGTAGCAGTTAATTTAGGTTGATCTTTATCTCCAAGCCTGTGATTTCTGGTTCAGTCTTCAAATTATCCTATCTAACTGAAGTTCCTGAAAGGCTTTAATACTTACTGTTTAATAAAATCAAACTTATTGATCTTTAAAATATAATGAGTTGTACCAATGCTTTTACTATTTATGTGTTTAAATAACACTTAAGTATTTATGATATTGATAAACCTTTTAGCTAAAATAAAGGAATAAATTGTATAAAATGACCGTACTTGGTTTTCTTCAGTTACAAAGTTCTATGCAAAAAATAAACTGAATCTTTAGGGTTCAAGCCACTATATCTAAGTAGCTTCTATGTATACGAGCTTTTATATTCATATGTATCAAATTTGAAAATGTAGCATAATATATGTACCAAATTTAAAAATGTTGAAAAAATGCTAAATCAATTATAGTTGGAATAAATTTTTAAATGTTTCCTGCTTCTGTCTTGCAGTTAAACAGTAAAACCATTGACACTTTGATGCAGAAGTTAAGTGAAAATGAAAGCCAAAATACTGTAAGCAAATTAAAATTTCTCTCTCTTTTTATTCTGTGCTGTACATCTGAAAATGGCTACCTCATGGGACTATACAATTTCAAGTGACAGTAGAAAAAGTAGGAGTACTTGTGGTTTATCATCACAAAATAGAATCTTAGTTTTACAGCTAAAATGTTCATCAGTGGGCATTACCGTTGCATTTTTATGTACAGACATTAAAATAATTTCTTTGTTATTTTTTTTCATTAAGCAACTCAGGAGAAAAATACTTGAAAAGGAGGAACATGTTAAAGAGCTTTCATCCAGGCTTCAGCTTGAAAAAGTGAGTGACTGTTTCTGTTGAAATGAATGTTTTCTCCCCGTGTGTTAGGTCTTATTTACAAATAATAATTTTTGAGAAAAGCAATTATTTCAAAGACCTCTGGAAAAAAAAGGAAAATCTTGAAAGACGTTTCCTACAGAAATATCTTAAAACCATGAAGACTGAGTCTGCCTTTCATACTGGCATCTATAATGAAGGCTTGCACTTGGGCATTACAATGCTCTTCTAGTCTATACTGGTAATTTGATTCATTTCTTCCTGTTTTCATTATTTCTTACTTAGCACAAGCCAAAGGAATCAAGTTGCAAGACATTTCATAAAATCATCTGACCTCAGTTCTGGTGACATAAATCACCTTGTGCTTTATGTATCCCTCCAAACTTAGAGTTTGAATTAAATATATCAATACTTCTACTAGCAGGTGATGGTCTTTGGTATTTAATGAAGGTCAGTTCAGGTCTAATTAGTCATGGCAGAGCTGATCTGTGTGGCATAATTTTGGTCAACCTGCTAGCTAGATGTCTTTGCTTAGCCTGGATTTTGGAGCTCGTGCCTCCAGATGTTGTTCATACTACTTAAGTGTCACACTAAACCTGAGGTGTCAGTTATACATACATTGTTTCAAGTTTGTGATTTCTGTTTAACAATAAAATTAGTAACAAGTTACTGCTTGTAAATGTATTTGTAGAATGTGTTTTATCTTTTCCAGGTTTTGAGGACGTTCAAATGTCAGTTAGAAACTACAGTGAAGTAGAAAGAATATAGATAGTATCATACAGCCTATCTTCACAGACTCCAGTAGATTTGTGTTTGTTTCTTTTTCTTAGGTCAGTGTACAGAAAGAAGACAGTCTGTCAGCATCAGTAAGGGCAGTACAAGCTCACCTGCAATGTCAAATTCAAAGAAAAGAAGTGGAAAATGATGAATTAAAAGTGAAAATACAGGTCAACATATTTTTACCTGTGTTTCAGTTTATTTGAAAAAATTAGCAAAGCCTTATTGTAGTCAGAATTTAATTCAGATGTGAGAGTTAAATCTTAAAAGTATAACTTGAAATCAATTTCTTGGTAAATGAAAAATTTTGAAGAGTAAAAATTACTAGCATTTATATTTTGCATAGTCTGCCTGTCTACACTGTCTTAATTGCAAATTGTTTATTCTTTTCTCAAACTGTGCATACTAACAGTCCTGCTGA